ACTTGACAGGCCAAGAGTATAGCGGAGCACCGCCGCCGTGGCCGCCGTGGCCTGCGTGGGCGCCCCGCCGCCCGGAGTGAGGCGGTGGCCTGGCTCGGCGTGCCCACCTTTTCCGCTTAGACGGCAGAGCGCCCCGCCGTAACGCCAACGCAGCAGCAGCAGAGAAAAGCAAAGCGTCTCTCTGCTCTGCGTCGCCAGAGCCGCGCTGGCCCGGGCTCGGCTCGGGTCGCAGCACAAGGTGCAGCTGCGCCGCTGCAATACTGCCCCCTCCTCCCGCCGCAGCGCTTTCCTCTCGCGAAGTGCATGGTGTACTACCACGACGGCGCCCGCCGCCCGCACTGCCGCGACGAGGCCGTGGTGGTGGTAGTGGTGGTGGGATATGACACAAGGCGAGAGCTTTTCAAATTACCCGCCATACTTTCTCGCGGTGCAATTGCACCGCTCACTCGCACGCCGGCAAGGAGCCGCCGCTCGCTCGCTGCACTTAGGCCCGCGGAGAGAAACCGCGAGGCGAACAGGGGACACCGTGAGACATAACAGGAGTGAAATAACAACTCAACCGACCCGCCAGCGGCCTGCCCGGCGCCCGCCAAAAGCGTCGGTCACAAGGTTATAGAAATATTCTTTCGGTTCCGTACTACCCACGACCCACGGTCAACCCTCGGTATTACCGGAACCAGCAGACGTAAAAATATAAAAGCCGGCCCATTGAAAACTGCCATTTCATCATATGTACTTCTAATAAAGGCAAATTCACGCTTTCATGTGTGTATGTGTACGTCTGGCTTTACCGAGACATTTGGGCTCTTCGTGACTCGGACAGTTCTTCACTTTCCCGTCGAGATGACCGCGGGGGGAGGTGGACAACTTGGGGGCGGGGGCGGGCGCGCAGGCGGAGGTGGAGCCGTCGAGGGCACTGCACCGCGAGAGGGTGGTGGGTGAGCGGGCGGGGACCCGGGCGGGGGCAGCCCGGGCGAGAGAGTGCGGGCGTACCGTGTCGGGGACAGCGTCGTCGGATTCCAAGAGAAGGAGAGCGAGGGAGAGAGAGAGAGAGAGAGGGCGTTGAGGAGAGCTCTAGCGAGAGGGGGACCGAAACGAATAGCGCACACAAAGAGAATAAGAGAGACAGAAGCAGCAGGGAGGCGACAGACGTCCGGTCTCCTCGTTAGTTGGTTTAAGGAACGGGTTCGACCGTTCGACCGCGCTGAACGAACGCGCACAGCGGCCAGGGCAAAGTGGGAGGGGGGGGGGCGACCCACCCAGGCTCCCGCTCCCGCTCGCCCGGCCCCACTGTGGGAATAGGAAGCTTGCTCTACTGTTTACACGGGGAATTAGAGCACTTTAAAATAAGCTCTCCTCTTCCCCGTCATTAGAAGAGACGGATAGTGCAGCTGTTCTGTCCCCGGGAAGGGGGGGGGGCAGAACCCCCCCGGACCGACCGGCCGCAATGGCCGGGGACAATCTGCGGCGGCAGGCTGGTGTAGTAGTCATGAGCCCGCAGCGAGAGACGAGAGAACGGAGCTTAATTAAGTGTGGATGAGAAAGAATGTCTCGACACTCTCTCTCTCTCTCTCTCTCTCTCTCTCTCTCTCTCTCTCTCTCTCTCTGTCTCTGTCTCTCTCTCTCGCGACAGCCTCGGCATCGCGACGGTGTGTGAGGACTGCCAACTGGCGCTCCACGGCAGAGGCAGGAGGGCGCGAGCAAGGCCGGGATGGGCGGGGCGGGGAGCAGCACACCGGCGCGCCGCTGCAGCACCAACAACGGGGGGCTCGGTGACAACCGTCTTGTGGGGCTCCGCGGCGTGTCGGCGCGGCCCAGCGCGTCTATTCATAGGCAGAGGTGTGTGCGGGCGGGGACCCCGGGACCCGCTGCTGCTGCCGCTGCTGCAGGCAGGCCGGGTCAAGGAGTCCCCCCTCGGCCCCACCCGGGCGCAGGGCGGGCGAGCCGCAGTATCGAGCAGAAAGGGTCGATTCATTTCCCGTATCGATAGTGTCACCGCTGCGGTCCTGCGGTCTTGTTCCCCGCCGAGGAGGGCGTCGACGGCGTGGAGCAACGGCGGAAGGAAAGGGGGAAGGGGGACGCCGCCGCCACGCCCCGCCGCCGAGCACGACGTGCCCCGATAAAGGAGTATATTAGGAACGAGCTTTGTCCCCGTTGTACAGCGTGCGGCAGCGCCGGGGACGGGGGCGGGGGCGCGAGGGGGAAGGTCAGTGGCTGACGCGCTATGCCGACTGCCCCCGCCTCTTCCGCCCCCCAAACACCACCACACCATCACCTCGGCAGGGGGGGTGTGGACAGCACCGGCAGCACGCCGACGACGCAGGGGTGGCGGAGCCTAGAGTGCTCTAGGAGACTCGCGCACCCGCCATGTGCCTAGCGCGGGGTGCCAAGGAAAAGAAGTCGACGTATGCGGGCTTGCCCCCCCCCCCCCTCCTCCTCCAATGCAATAAGCCCGACGTGTACCGTCAGGCCCGGTACATACGTGCCAGACTAAAGCTATGTCATGCCCGACCAAGACCGGCCGGCCTCTCCTCATCCCACGGCAGATTTCCCCCGAACAGCGTCACAGACACTTTGGAACATTGCTGTGTCACGACGCGCGGCGCGGCTATAGTACGCCACTTGAGGGGAAACACACGACGGGACTGCGTGCGCCGGTCGATGGTGCAAGTTGTTCGGCAAAGGTGTTTAAGGGCCGCGGGATCCTGCCGCGACACCTGCTGAGCACCGCGCACCTGCCCAGCAGGCTGGCGGCCCCCACGGAGGGCCCCACGCACCCCGCGGCGGCGGCTCGACGACGGGACGGGGTGGTGGTGGTGTGGGTACCGCGCGTGGCCTTGAGTCGGCGGCGAGCTGGAGGATAGAGGCTCGTCGAGGGTGGCGGAGAGAGGAGGGGGGCTGACGGGGCGGCGGAGGAGGGGAGAGAGGAGAGGAGAGCTGCCCGTCTCGCATCCCTGTCTCCGGGCTTCGCGGCGGCGGCGGCGGGCCTCCGTGGGGGTGGTTCCGACATCCCACCCCGTGCGGCGGCGGCGGCGGCGGCGGCGGCGGCCGCGTCCCGTTAGAGGTGACTCCAAGGGCGCGGCGCCGCGGCCGCGTGTCCCAGGAGTACGGGTGCAGCAGTCGCCTCGTAACGCAACGCGCCCGAACCTTATACTACACACGAGCGCCAAATGAAAACAGCGAGGGCATTGCTCCGAAAATAAGGGGCCCGCGACGGGGGCACCTGCTGGGGGGCTCCTGCTGGGGCGGGGAACCCCGCGGCCCTGGCATCACCAATACCTACCCATATAACGTTCGTTGTGTTTCAATTCTGACGAAATCCTTTTTTTGCGACACGCGGACAGATATGGAGGGGGGTGGGGTCACGAGCGGGCACCCCGGCGGCGCGCCTCGCCGCGCGTGTTTACCAACACCGCCGACGCCGCCACGCAACGCCGCAGCCCCACGCCGCCCCGCGCCGCGCCCGCGCCACGTCAGGCGAGCCCGCGCCACGTCTCGCCATCGCCGCCACGCGGCCGCCGTCGGGCGCGGCTCGGCGCGGCCCGGGCCAGACCCGGACAGGAATACATATCGCTTTCACGCGGACGGACAGCCACGTGCTGCTCCTGCCTGGACAACGGCGCAAAAGTGACCGGCAGAAACCCACCGCACGCCGCCGCGCCGTCGCCGGCCTCTGGCATCCACCACAGGTCCTTCCAGGAGAACACGATCGCGCGGTCATGGCTTGGAAAACTACCCGCTCCAGGGAGCCTCCCGGTAGGATCTATCAGTCGCCAACCCACACAACACACACACACACACACACGCGCAGCGCGCGCCGCGCCCCCAAAAACCTAACCCGCCACGCCTCAGTTGAGCTCTGGAATGAATCGACGCAAACAACGGAACTGTTGACTGTGACTGAGTCACCTGATGGCAGCCGCGCGGTCGCACAAGTGGGGCGTGGCGGGCCGTGGGGGTGACCCCCCCCCCACTCTAACCCACGCAAACTGATAGCGACGATGAATGCTGCTGCTCCTACACGACGACGACGAGGAGGAGGAGGAGAAGGAGGGAACTTTCCACCGGCGAACACCAAACATAACAAACAAACACAACAAAGCCACAAGCCCATCCCACTAGAGTGCGGTGTTGGTGTGGCCCCAGGGGTTGCGGTGGCCGACGACGGGGAGCTTCCACGGCGCAGCGGCTCGCCGCCACTCCCCGCGGCCGCCTCGTGAGCTCCAGTCACGTGAGCACGTGGACCGCCCGCCCCTCAACTCGTGATCACACGCGTGCTGGAGCTGCGGTCGTCGCCAAAAATAGGAGGGGGAGAACACCACCCTCTATACTCGTGATGACACGTGTCCTCCTGGAGCTGGTCGTCGCCGAAAGCTCGCCAGGGAGAGCCCGCCCCACTTTGTGATCGCCGGTGATCGCACACGTGTCCTGCTGGAGCTGGTCGTCGCCGAAAGCACGCCATAGGGAGAGCCCCGCCCCCACCTCACGATTGCACACGTGTCCTGCTGGAGCTGGTCGTCGCCGAAAGCTCACCAGAGAGAGCCAGCCCCACTTCGTGATCGCACACGTGTCCTGCTGGAGCTGGTCGTCGCCGAAAGCTCGCCAGGGAGAGCCCCCTCCCCCACCCCCGACCTCTCCCTCACCACACACACAGTTAGCCGGCGCTCTCCCGCGCGAGCGCCGCGGCGGCCTTATAGGGAGAAAGGCCTCGCTGCCGTCGCGGCGCCCATGGCGGCCCAGGCCAGGGGCCCAGGCCATGCAGGGCGACAGCTGCGCATTGCCCACCGGCTGAGTCACGATTTCTCCTCCTCTGCTTACTCCTTCTCCTCGCCCGCCTCCTCTCTCCTCCCGGGTGGGGCAACGCCGGCCGGATGGCCGCGCGGCGCGGCAACTTCGCCGATGAGGAGGACGCCGGTTGTGGGCGCGGAGAACTGGGTGTGTGCGAACGTACTGTACCGCCCGGGCGTTGCACCCGCCGCGCAGCAGCGCGCATTGCTCACCTGCTTGAACTCGTTGTAGCTGACGTCCGTGCAGTAGAGCGGCACCTCGTCGCCGCCCTGCAGCAGCACCACGGCGCCGTCCGGGACGCGCGGCCGCAGCGCCTCGCACAAGCGGCGCCGGTTCAGCGCGAACAGCTCCATGGGCACGCGCAGCGTGTGCGGGCCCATAGAGTACCCGGGCGAGGACCTGCGGGGCAAAAAAACACAAAAGCGGCGATCAGTGTACAGCACCAAACAAAACAAATAACAAGCGGCTCGTTTTACTTTTTTGCACCTCATTTGTTTGCGACAATCACACAAAGGTGGTGAGGTGTATGCAACGAATTGGCAGGCCCCTAATACCCCACGGCCCGCCTGGTTGTGCAAATTGGAAAGAGAAGACTGTACACGTGAAAATGTGGCTGTGGCTAGAAACGTGGCGTCGCATGGCGTAGCGTGGCGTGGCGTGGCATGGCGTAGCGTGGCGTGGCGTGGCATAGCGAGGCGCCGGGAGATGGGAGCCCCGCGCCATCACGCGCTCCTGTGCTTGATAACCTGATTACCATCGTCGAGCCGGCCGGGGGCGACAAATTAGGGCCGACAATCTAAAGGCTGCGGCTGTTAAACAAGGCCCGTCGTACAGTATACCACACGTAGCGATGTGAGCCTCAAGTGCGTTGCATTTGATTTCGTGCGTTTGTTTTGTTTTGTTTTGCAGGCGGGATGAACGGGGGTTGGTTAGTAGTACAAGTAGTGGCTCACACGTTAGAGACAACCCTCCGTTACCTATGTCGCCGGAGGCCCCACACGGGCGGGGGTGAGGTGCACAGCGGCCCCCGCGGCGGCGGTCCTAGCCCGGTCAGCAGCACGGCCGCTCCCGCCACCGCCGCCCCCGGACGCGCCGCCCCCGGCCCTGTCCCGCCGCCGCCACTGCGCACTCCGCGCACCCACGACCGTCCAAATGTGCGCCGAACTCCCATGAGCAGTGCGCGCCTGTCGAACACACGCACACACACACATACAACAGACATAAAGACAGACAGACAAACAGACTTGTGTTACAAGTAGACAGACAGACAGACGGACGTGGGATAGTGTTTCCGCACGTTTGCAGCAGTACAGTCGCGCGTGAGCGGGCATGTTGTTGTGCGTGCCGCCCGGCGTATAGAGCGCCGCCGCCGCCGGTCTGAATTCATATTGCCATGCCACCGCACGGAAACGCGACTGCTCAATAAATGGGTCATGGAGAATCGCTCGCCTACGGCGGCGCAACGGCGGCGTGGCGTGGCGTGTATGGCAGCTGCCGCGTGGCGTCCACGTAACCCGGAGGTCCGTATTACAGCGATCTGGGCGGTGGAAGTCCCCGGCCCAACACATCATTAGGGGCGGTCCCGTGGGCAGCTGCGGCAGGACCACGCGTCCATCCGCGCGCTAGTCCGGCCCGCAGCTCAGCGGCGCGCCCCCAACGCCGGCCCCACTCGACGTCGCATAGCACCGCGAAGGTCTACGGCCGGAGGTAACCGGCGGCGGGCGCCGCGCCGGGCCACGCCGCCAAACAGCGCGAGCGCCAAGCGTCTCAGCCGCAGCCTCGGTGGCGGCGTCTGCTCTGCCGAGGGTACGCTCCTAGAGTACACTGCACAGACAGCACTATATGACTTGACTTCGAGAGATTTCGAGTGCAAATCATCCGCACGGGGTTCCTGTCAACTTTTGACAGAGAGTGTGTGCGTGCATCGACGTTCTGGCCCGTTCCGTTTGGGCAGCGCCTGTGCCACTTTCGGTAATCAATCCGCTGCAAGACACAGGCCCGTGCGGATCCCGGGTAATCCGGGGGTAAATCCAGGGGTAATCCGCCTGTTGTTCGGGGGTAATCTAGGGGCAATGCGAGTAACCCAGGGCAATTATCCGTCGTACTGTACACGAGATCTCGTTTTCCCCTCGAGTGTTGCTCGCCAGCTGTGCATCAGCCCCGTTGGCGAGCGGGCCCGGCCCGCCGCTGTGCGGTGCGCGCTTTCTCCGGCGTGATCGTCCTAGATGCCGCGGTCCGCAAGTCCCCTTCACCGTCCGGCCCGGCCGGCACGAGCCGCTATGGGCCTCGGGGGGCCGGGCTGACGGACCGGCTACCCGAGGCCGCCACTGCGTCACGGGGGTGCGGGGCACCCGCGGCCGGGGGACCGACGTCCCGTGGGCCACCCGCCACACGTCTAGAGGGTGTCGAGCCATGCGGCACACCCGGGGCTGATCTCAGCCGCACCCCAAAGACGCTCTCCCCGACGAGTATTCCCGTCGATCGGTCCCATTTTAACAACCCCTTTACCGTCCCCCGCCGCACCCCCTCCGCCTGGAAGTCAACACGGTGTCTGCACACGGCCTGGTCCCGCCCCTCCCCGCGGTGTTGCCATAGCGCCGTCGCCGCCACGGCCCGCGAGGAGAGGGGAGGGTACTGCTCGGTGCGACACGGAGCAGACGGCCCATACCTCGGCGCGTTCCAACGCAGGGCCACAAACAAACACTAAACAGGCGACGCGGCGCCCTAGTCGCTGCTGGTCCTCATGTCTGCCGGCCACACAGAGCCCCTGGAGGGTAGGCAACGGTTGGTCTGCAACGCAGACGTGTGTTGCGGGCGTGCCTACCTCCAGGCGGACCCGCACAAGCCGCCCGGGCGGCCGCCAGGTTCGGCCAAGCATCGGCCCCTTCGGCCGGCCCGAGCCCCAGGGGGGTAGGCAGCGGGCGGTCTGCAGCGCAGACGAGTGCTGCGGGCGTGCCTACCTGCAGGCGGCCCACCCAGGACCCAGGTCTGGCCGAGCGGCGTTATGTGATAGGGGACCGCGCCGCCGCGGTCTGATGAGCTAGCAATGGGCGCGGGCCGGGGCCGGGGCGTGGCGGGGTGTGGCGGGGCGTGGCGGGGCGTGGCAGGGCGTGGCGGGGCGTACCGGCGCCGACCTGTGCAAAAGGAGCAGCGGGGCGGGGCGGGGCGGGGTGCGGGGTGCGGTTGTTGAACCTCTTCCACTCCAGCGGAGTCGCAGTTAGCGCGGCCCACGGCCCACGGGTCTGCTTACGCCTGCTCTACCAAAGCGCCGAACGCGTTTTCTTGCCCCCACCACCACTCTCCGCGCCGCCGTTCCAAAGCGGCTCAGAGTGATGGTGCGCGGCGATCGTTCACGGAAAAATTTGGGTGGAACATCCCCAAAGGGCAGGCATGGCCCGGCCAGCCGGCCAGGCCCCGAAGTAGACCTGGAGCCCCTTTCACCCCCCCCCCTCCCCTCCCAGCCATCTCCACCACCACCACTGAAGCTGGGGTAAATAGGTTGGACTTTGAGTAGAATACATGCAAAAAAAATAAAAAAAAGAAACTAGCACTGATGTTAATTTTTAAAATTGTTTATGTGTAGCTACTGTTTTTATTTTATTTTTACTTTTTGCAACAGGACAGTTATTTTTAACTGCCCTTTTTTTGGTAGATTTTCACTATCATGTCTAATTTTTTTTGCCTAGTACAGAGTGAAGTGCGGATAGACAAGGATGGATTTCATCACAGATTTTGATAAAAATGTTAAATATTCTAAAACGTTCCATAAAGCATGTTTTATTTATAATAATTTGTTGTCAACCTTGTTCAATTCTAAATGTAACACTGTCATGCCACAGTATTACTAACTTCTCATAACTGTTCGGATAGAATGTTTGAACAACGTGCAAATTTACCTAGAAGTACTGACAATACTGACGTTTTCAGGTTCAATTCAGCTATAACATGACAAGACGAATACAAAACAGAAAAGGAACGACTGTGATGGGGGAAATTAAGTCAGTGATTGCACACGCCAAAAAAAGAAAATGGAATTGAATAAAAATCTGACTTACATTAATTAGCTTTTTGACTGATTACACTATGGCAACAAATAAAGGAAACGTCTTTCTGTGATTTACAACCATAAAACAAAAGGTACGTTTGCAACTTTGTAGTACAAAGGTAAAGCTGAAAATTGGCTTTACGACTGCAATCAAGTGATAGAACTGGCATTTGTACAAGTGGTGATTATTCAACGAATATGGACGTAAAAAAAGTGGAGGCATTCAGTTGAAGAAAACAAAAGAGAGGTTATGTCGCTCATAGTTTCCGAAAAAATATGTACAATCGAAGACAGATAAAAGAAGTTTGACAATTTTTTACAATGAATATAGCATGAAATTACTTACTGTGCTCCATTTGTAGACATTCTTAACGTGGACGAACTTAAAAGAGAAGAAAATGTACAACGGCGGGGAGTATGTGACAGTGCCGTGTTGTTGTCGGTGCGGTCAGCTGATCTCCGCGACTGGGGGTTGGCTACTGGCTGCTTCTGAGCCACCGCGCGCCTTTTTCAAAGCCGAGGGAGAAAGAGTAATTGGGCGATTTTGGTTCGGCTCTCGTCTAAATGGTAAAATTTTCCGTCGGGAGAGTAATTTTCCGTTCCAGTACTGAGCGCCGATAACGAACTGAGGCGGAAAGCCTTGGTTACTCACTGAACTGTCACACTCTACTATCGTTTCGGTGGACAGCCCTTCCTTCCCACGGTGCCTCAGAGATAATGAAAAGCCAGGGGCAGGCTGACACTACCCATGCAATCAGTGTTTTCCTCTCTTTCTTCCTCAACAGACTTTTATCCTTTTATCTCAGCTAGCAACAGCTACTTTTCATCACCTAGCTAATGATGCAAGCAGATGCAAGTGCAAGTGTCAGTCGGTCGATTAGGTGGAATTAAACCCAGTTTGTTTTAACCACCTCTTTCAAGTTTTCCTTGACCAGGTCAGTTTTGTCTTCTGGTGTCGGACCTATGGCAGGTGCACCTTCACGTGGACCACATAGTACTTCTTAGTTTCTAATATGGGAAACTTTTCCATCAAATTGACAAATTGCTTCCAATCTTGTTAAGGTGCAGGGATGTAAGGAGAATGATAAATACCTCATGTGTTAGATCTTTATCACATTTATTTTTTTTCTTTAGGTACTGGTACTGTGCTCAAAGACACATCATGCACTAAAACATGCATGTCAAAGAATATTATTCAATTAGAAGACAATACTTCAAAAAATCAAACTATAGAGAAAAAAAAGACAAAGACAACAGAACACCACACATGAGTTGAAACATGTTTTGCAGAAGAATTACAGATATTAAAAAATGAAAAATAAACAAATTTGGTATGGTATCTAGTAGCAATAAAAAAAAAAAAATCAACATTAAATCAAATCATCTACATAATCATGATACATGACAATATGAACAACAGATTATGTTCATGAAAATTAAGGAAAATTCATATTTCATTCAGTTCTATTAACAGAAATTAAGCGTAATTACAATTTATTCTGGCTAGAAACAATTCAAAGAAATTGGCATAACTAAAGAATAAAACAAGCTGAGTCTTCAGACAGATAGCAGTTTGAAATTTCAAAGATTAAGATAACAGTTAACTCATTAATTTAAGGTACATCAAGGAAATGCAAATAAGGAAACGGGGGGGAAAAAAAGCCTAACATCCACATCTTTTGAGCCGATTCCTTCAAGATTTTTTGTCAACTATCACACTGAAATCAAATTCTGAAATTAGAATATCAAGTTAGCTGTCTTGCTAGCACCAGCATGAATTGGACGGTCAGTTATTAACACTAAGCAACAACATATGGCCAGTTTGAATGCTCGACCATTCTTGTTCAACATTTGATTTCAGTTTGACTCCAATCCCCTAACCCACCAATTATTATTAAAAGGTACTGCCCTGTACAATTGGAAACAATCAAATTTTTTCTAACTAGTTTTTCCTTTATTAATTTTATCACCAGCCTATGTACATAAAAACTCATGCATTACGTAAAATTAAATATTCATCAATCACAATTGCACTACCAAGAGTGAAATGTTCAATACAGTTTGTGAGTGAACCATTTTAAAGCAGGGCATAAGTAGTTTTGGTAGATATGTAAAATGATTTTTTTTTGTACATAAAATTATGTTGCAAATGAGATCAATATCACTGTTACATACTACAGTTTCACCACTTCTACTGTTCAATACCAAGTTTAATTTTTTTCCTAAATCCCATATCACTAGAGCAACTCTTTGGGAAGGAATGCATGCCTTTCAGAGCATCTCGTCATGTAAACTTTACTTGAATCATAAGTAAATACAAAGCAGATCAGAATGCGAGAAATGCAAGGTGTATGATTCACCTTAAACAGGAAAGGTGACCTAGCCAAATAGAAATGGCAAAGGCTAGATATACAAGATCAACTACACCTGCATCTGCCGTAGAGGCTCACATTAAAAAGGGCAGGCATACACATATTGCTCCATTATCAAGGCCAAAGTATGTATCAAAAGTAACATAAAAACAAAACATACTTCACTAAATGCCATCATCTGCATGAGAAAAAAAATTTGCTGCAGTGATTGGCATTAGCAGTTATAATACTGCCTATTAGGATCAAACAGTTCTCAGATTGGTTTATATTTCCAACCCAGTTCAAAGATGATCTTTCACTAGTGAAATAATTTACATCTTGACTATGACTTGACAATAAATTAAACTGAAGACAATCCATGGTGGCAGAGCCCAGCCGAGCCCCACATTCACAGGTGTCAATTTGTTTACGTAATTAATATCCTAAACAACACAAGAAAAAATAATAGTTGTGTTGGGCCGCGTCAGAACGCAGAGGAGTGGCTCTTGAGTAATCCAATAATCAAATAATCCAATCAGCCCGGCGTAGCGAAGCACTGGATAGCACTGGACAGCACTGCATGTAGCACTCACTCGACACATCACCAAGCACGGCACAAGGAGTCGTCGGTCATCACAAGACTTGTAAGGAACTCAACCTTCACGCTACGAGCCTAAATACACTGAACTCACAGCTCGACATGGCACATTCGAATCGGACTCCTAGTGTCCTCATCGGAGTCGTAAAAATATCTTTGCTTGGGCGAAAGGCCCATACTAAGTCGCCGTACGGCCTCCTTTATAAGTCCACCGTCCCTCAGGAGCTCTTGCAACATTCCATAGGGATCGTCCGCCTCGGCGGACACCTTTGATGATTTCTTGCAAGAATGTCCACAACACAAGGTGCCGGCCTTGGAGCAGGCGTCACAGTTGGGGTCGCCCCAACTCCGGCTTCTGCTCGGAATCCGGTAGGGCGATGGCCGAGACGACTTGTGCAGCACGGAGAAGGCGGGCCGCGACTTGAGCCCTCCCGAGGAGAGCCTCAGGTTCTCCTTTATCTCGGACACGAGCTCCTCCATGTCGCGGGCGAAGAAGTCCGGCTGGGCAGTGGCCGAAGCCCGAGCCAAGGTGCCCGTGGTGGCCGTTGTGGGCGAGGCTGCCGAAAGCACGCAGGTCTCCTCGATGCTAGGCATCGCGTTGCTACTCGTTTCCACTTCGGCGACGCTTGATAGAATACTTCTCGAGCAGGTTTCAATTGCAAACAGAGAAATAAGACTTGAGCGAAAAATTTGCGGTGAAAAAGAGGTCAGCTCTCGCCAGTTACTCGCTCTATAATGAATGGACCGACGGCACTGCTGTGTTGTTGTTTTCCTCCGCTCCGCTCGCTCCGCTCCCTGCCTACCGCTGCCCTGTACAACGCACGGCTGCCGCGACTGAAAATAGTACATGTCAACAAACGGCTGCTCAGCCGTGATCACCGGGACCTAATGAAATTTACATTCTTGTTCTGGCACGGCATCCATTTATTCAATCACAATTTAACCGATTTTGGGCGTCATCTTGCCGCATAAATGATGTAAACACCAAATGTGGAACAGCCATAGCATGGCGCCTGGCGCATGATTACACGAACAAAAAAATAGTTCGTCACGTGACGTCACATGGCCAGAACATTCGGGCCAACGGTTGGTCCGGATGGCGAGAGTGGGGGTAGGAGGAAGTGGGAGGGGAGAGAGGTGAACCAGATGAAGAGAGGTGGGAGAGGAGAGGGAGAGGATGTAAACAAAACAACCCAATAACAATGTACCGCGAAGGCAGTAAACAGTGGGAGAAAAATGTGGATTTGGAGAATCACTGAAAGCTGTAATCTCCAAAGTGTGATTCCTGCTGAAAGGGCATTTCTTTCAGTTTAAAAAAAAAATCATAGTGAAAGAACTTTACAATTACCTTAATTTTAATAGATGCTTGGGAAAATGGAATGCAAGAAATAAAAAAAGGCTACCCATAAAACAAGTTTAACAATTTTTTAATAAATTTTCAACAGTTTCAGCAGTATTGGTGTGATGCTGCCTAGTTGATTCACAAAATTCACATACAATACACAGTATTATAATCGTGAGGCATTACATTCAGACGGGGATAAAACAAATGGTCAGAAGAATAATTTAACAAATTTGTCAGATCGGCAGTATAAATATCAGAAAGTCTATGCAGTTTTCGAAAAAAATATGAGGAGTTGTTGCCAGACCGAAAAACTGATCCAAATTGGTGGTTGAATGCCCTCTTCACAGACATCCTAAAAGAACAGAAAGTACAAAAATAAAATTCTCACTTTAGTACACCTCCTGTTTCAAAGAACCACTAAATTGATTCCAAGAAAAATTATAATAACTCATTGCATGAAAATCATTCTGTAGTTGAGCACAAAATTATAATGTACACACAGTTTGGGAAAATCCTCAGAGGCTTGAGCTGCTCTAGATCTAAATTCTAAGCTAATGTTCCTGCCCCACACATAAAATAGCCTTGAACTGAACATATTGTCTTCAATCACAGAAGTGTGTAACCACCGACAAGCAAAATAGCATTTACGAACTACAGTTATAGAATAGTATGTTTCATCACTATCAAAGCTTCCAAGTAATTAAGCAGAAATTTCATTAGCTCTGCTGGCAAAGTACACAACATAAGCACACACACATACAACACTTAGAAAGACTGGAATTGACAGACAAAACAGACAAAAAGTGAACTTCAGAGTAAACCAGGCCCTTTCAATATAATAAAAACTTTCAAAATCTTTAAAATTATGGCACAAATTTAATTCCTTACATTGAAATATAATATGCACAGTAATAATAAATAAATAAATAAGACCAGAATACACAGCCGGTTCTGAAATACCATGAAAGAAGACCACTGCCAACAACAAAAATCCGTTTCAATATTTAAACTAAAAGAAAAAACAATTATCTAAATTTCAAAAGACACATGATAGCCACAAACTTATTTCTTTGAGATTTGAAGAACAGAACGAAACTAGAAACAGATTTTTGGAAACTAATCACCAGCACAAATGATGGTTCACAATTCCACAATATTTCCTTAGTAGCAAACAATTACAGAGAGGTTTATTTAAAGCATGTCTTCTTAAAATTGTACTATCAATCCAATCACAAGAAAAAGTCTTGGTAAATTTGATCATAGTTTACTCACTACTTGTGAAAACATCAGATCCTAAGATGCTTAACCTTAACAGAACTAGTCATATGAATTTACCTGCTCTTTCAAGGTCCAACACAACATAGCATAATATTCCATTTATTTCAATAGCCTCACACTTTTCAGGAACCCACTACAAATCCCTTTCTCTAAATAAAATTGTTAACTACTGAAAGGAACACATCAGGTTGAGCATGTAATACTGATTCATATTCTAATCAGGCTCTCATTTGTGATACATCAGAGTATACATACTTCTCTCATGATATACTAACAACAAGAAGAGACATACACTGATAAAATGGTACCTCACTTGATAATACTTCACCACAACATAGCCAATTATTTTTCTACATAGGAATCAAAATTTACAAGGAAAAATAGTTATAGTCTATCTTTATCTTTTCAGCCTAACTAACATTCTCTCATCAAATTCAATAACACTACAACTACACAAAGTATGATGCATATTCATGCGGCATCACACCACGTCTCGGATAGAAGGTATGATCAGTCGAGTACTGTAGTAGATTAGTTATTTTGGCAGTGTATATATCCGCAAAGCGAAAGAGTCGTCGGGAGAAATAGGTCGGATTGTTGAAGGTCCGGAAAACTGAACCAAATTGTGGATTGAACACTTTCTTGATTTCCAACCTAGAAAGTATAAACAGTTCAATTATTAAATGTTAAATATATTAGACAAAATTACAATTTCTAGAACTCTAGACAAGCAAAACTACAGGATTAAGAAAAAAGACCCTTACGTAGCAACAGTCTCGGCTCACCAGAAAGAAAGTGACTATTCGCACCAGGGTGCAACAAGAAAATCTACTCTAATCCAAAGAGAAGAAACGACCCTCAAGTCAAAAACATATCATGCACACTTCCCGAACAATACAAAGAGCAAAAGCCTTTACAATATTAAGTGTTTCAGTAAAAAGAAAGAAGTGGATAAATTCTTAGGTTTTAAAAGTACTGTTCAGAAGAGCATACCTCCTACATGAAGTATGACCAGTACTCATGAGGCATTACACCGCGCCGAGGAAAAAAGGTGTGCTCTGATGAATAGTGCAGTAGGTTTGTCACGTGAGCCGTATAGATGTCCGCAAATCGGAAAAGGCGCCGTGAAAAATATGAAGGATTGTTGTATGTTCGAAATACGGATCCGAACTGAGGATTGAAGACCTCCTTCGTTTGTTGCCTGGAAATAGGTTTTGTGCAGTTGAAATTTTTGTGTTTTTAAATAATTCCTCTTTTTTTTAAGCCTTAGTATAGGTTACAAAACTGCAAAGATATTCAAATGAAGAGCTCCTGAGGGCCCAGGTTAGATTGAATTCCATGATTCAGTTTCAAGAGAATGAAATGGTAGTGCGTGGTTTAGAATGGTTTCTTGTCAGAGGAAACCCCACAATGATTCCCAAATGCTACATTCTGGCTTAGAAAACACATCTTGCAACACCCATGCAAAATCCCTCCATCACCATGCATATGAACCACCACACAGAAGATCACAACAATTTGACACAAAGAAAAACAAACCGATGCCATATTTGTGAAGAGGTAGTTTTTGTTTAGTTCCTATGCAACTTAAACATCAATTCAGGTGTGCAGTTCATGCAACAGACTCTTACCTGAGCCGATCCCTCTCCTCAATCCACTTATCTAAAACATTTTTAGCCATAGGATTGTCTTCAATTTCTTGGTGATCTTCAATCAGCATTGTTAACATTTGAAGCCAATTGCAGTTTAGCTTAAACTCATCATTATTTAATGTTTGTATCTCATGCTAAAAAAGAAATTGGGCGCACAGTTTAAATTATTTTTAGTACAAAAAATGGCTAAGCACATCTCTGAAAGAGTCATACATACAGAGAGCTCATGAACAATTGCACCTGTTCGCCAACCATGTTCTAAAGTGACATCAGCAAGGTCAGTGTACGGATGGTCCCCAAAGTAAAGCACTTGCTTTCCTTGCCAACCTGTAATAGCTTCTAATTGCTTTAGTGTACCCTAAAAAAGAAATATAAAGAAGTATTATGCAGAAGAAAACAAGAAATTTAGAGAAACTAGACATTGGTTAATGCATGCACATCTCCCAAAATCAAAATGAAAACAATTCCGCATTTACCTCACAATAGATTTTTCCTCTTTCCAATTTTGTGACACGGTCCCACAAATGAACACCAGTTTCTGTGTCAAACATTCGAATTGGTCTGGATTCATCAGTAAAAAAGCGGGGTTTGCGAGCTTGTACAATGACAACTTCAAAATGATCAATCCAGTCATCGCCAACCAAAAGCGTCATCCCTGCATTTCTAGTAACACCAAACAATAAAATAAAAAATCAGCACAAAGTACTTTTTGTAACCAAACCAACCTGGTCTTCAAAATGTTACCCACACAAAGTTGTAAGGACTATTAGTAATAAGAAATAGTTTCTTTCCATTGTTTTTCAGCTGTTCAAACAGTTTACGGATGTCTGGATTCAGTTCTAAATACTCTGATACATTGGCCTGCACCAATCTATGCATTATTGGATGACAATTTTGAACAGAGGTCTGTAAAGATAAGTTTAGAAAAGAAAATATAAGATCACTCATGTTTTCTTCATATTTTGAAAATTAATTCAAAGAGAACTACATTGATACAACACATCTTACCTTAACATCTGAGAACAATATTTCAGGATGAAAATCTATTTGATGCCTTTGAAAGTAATCTAACACATTACAAAGTAAACTCATTTCAGGTACTGAGAAGAGATCAGCTAATTGGACCATCTTGCTGCTTGCATCCTGAAATAAACAAAGAGGCAGGATGTTTATGAAAATGTGGTATAAAAGGGGCAGCTCACGTCACCCCCTACTTTCCTATTTCTACACGCAATTTGTACTTTCCAAGGGAAAAATTAGTTCAGATATCAATTAAAAAAAAATAAAACAAAGCACTGACTTTCTATTTTTTAGGGCCCATTTGCAAGGGAGAGTAGCAAGTTATACATGTTGAAGCAGTAGGGAAATGCAAATGACAAATTAAAATTTCAACAAGTGTCATGAACATTTAGTTTAAATATTATATCACTTGAAAGAAAGCTTTAAGGATACACATAAGCTGGAAATTTGACTTATCCAGATTTGGCAACCATACATCGAAACTGTTCAGATGACAGATGTCCATTTTATTTACATTGAAATCTGATCTTAGAAAAGCAAATAAAATTAAATTCATAATTATTACAGCACCTATTCAATCACATGAAAAAAATAATCAGCAAATGAAAAGTTTTAAACTACTGAGGTCGTTTTCCACACATTAACTACACACCATTAATAAATTATTTTAGTGCAACATGACATGACATAGGCTTTCCATGCCGCGCACACTTGTGCCATGCAAGAGAAAACAAGAGCATGCACTCCAGTACGACTTACTTTCTTATTCTGTATGAGTTTGAAGGGGTAAAGAGAGGGAAAGAGAGAAATACAAAATTACAAATAAGACCACCGACTAGCAGGGGTAATTTCAGATTCAAATTTCTTTCCAAAAAATTGAAAGGTGACACATGCCATTCTTTACACTGTTGAGCTTTGATAATAAATCAAAACAACCTGTTCACAAGGTTTCGATTAAGTTCGCAGGTTGGAAGTGAGAAATTTGGGACAAAATCTGGGAATCTATCATCAGGACCAAATACAGAATCCACCAACAGACTTTAACAGGTAGCATTATGTTTTTAAAAAAAAAGTTACGAGAGAGTTAAGAGAAAGTATAAATCAAAAAATTATATTCGGACATTCCCCGGTGACCTCCGACGATTTGGACTTTTACCGGCGAATGTCCGACATTCACCGGCCACCGGACATTCGCCTTAACATATATATATTAGTTTGTATCTTATGGAAAATAATAAAGTAGACAATTAAATTACTTTGCAATACTTCATTCATGTAGGCTCTTGGGCTTTACTGTACCGAGGTGTCAGTAACTTCAAGTGATTTTTCTGAGCCAAAATTTTGCTTCAAGAGTTTGATCAGAGAGAATTAGGAAATGGAAATGAAGGAACTTACCACTCCACCTCGAGCGCTTTCAACATACGCCAATGGTATTGTCCTGCTTTTGTACAACTTCATGACGTCCTCATCAGAAAGAGCTGTCAGACCTCTATAGACTGAACCCAATTGAATTTGAAGAAATGAGTCAAGCTTAAGGAGCAATCCTTTGCTGACATCATAATGTAATCCCCGGACAGCAAATCCAGGCTGGTATTCGAGCTCTCTAATCCCCTCAGGATACTGTAGGTGAAATAACCAGTTGATAAAAATATGAAGGAACTAAGCAATGAGTGCCAATAACATTTTACACTCACTTTGAGTTTGTCCACAAGACGATCACGGCCCAAATTGTAGAGGAGGAAGTCCATACTTGGTTTGTAGCAAGCCAACGTGTAGTCATAGTCAAAGCCATAGACGCGCACCTCTCTTAGGTCTAATTCATTGCACGCAAATACACCTTTAATGTTAACATCATGAGGCAGCTTCTTTCCTAAAAAGAAACAGGAATTATTTTCAAAATTGCACAAAGAATACAATAGATCAGTTTTTGCAAATCTTGTTGGCACACAGTACAGTATAAATGGGGAAAATATTGGTTACAAGAATTGACAGTCACAAACAAGTAGCATGAGAGAACAATCGAAAACAAAATTATATATTATGATAAAAATCATTTATATTTTGTCAATTATTTGACCTTTAGGGAAACCCCTTCAATCAGTAGGTAACATACCCAGCAAAGTTTTGTGAGCCTTCGTGTATGCATCGTTCATTCGTTCGGCGACTGAAATGTACGTTCGAATAACATTACAAAGAAGAACAGGACGTGCCTTTTCAATGGCATTGTAAATACGGTAAGGGGAATTACGCCCCAGAGTAGCTTGAAACATCCTGAAAAACGTTTATAACCTAAAAATTATTTCGACATGCATGTACACAACAACTGTACGACGCTGGTCAATGAATTTAATTGTCATCAAATCATGTTCTATGTTATGACTCCTTGTTACATTAGAAAAGAAAATTTTTATTTGCAATATTTTAATTATTTAAGAAATAAAGTACAATACGCTGAAAAATAAATGCTTGACATTTTTTGGTGTCTCAACTGGATCACGGCAAGCAAACATGTCTGCTATTTCATGACAGACAGCTGCGCCTAGTCGTCGAATCAAATGTCAAACAGTAGTTATGCGGGAGTTATTTAACTTTAGCATCATCCTAATTAATTATTTCAATTGTATCTGGTGATGTCTATAGCTGTGTCATTGTGTGTTATCCATATCGAATTGGGTGACGAGACAAATTTGTCAACTAAAGGTACGTCTTCTGAGATTGTGGGTTATGTTTTGTTTTGGGTATGTATTTTGGCAGCAGCCTAATGCCTAAGTCTCACTACTTGTTGAAGTTCACGTTACAGTTAATTTTATGCCCCTATTTCGTAGACAGATATTTTTTTACTCACATCCTCTTTGGAACGATTTTTTTGAGTTGTTTCGATAATATTGTGCAATGTTGTTCTCAAATTTTCTTTGTGTAGGTGCTCTTGGCGCCATGGCCGCCAAAAACATTGAACTTAATGCTCGTCGCGGTCGACGAGAAATGCGTGACATCACAGTTGAGACTTATTCTCGTACTGGAGTAAAGCCTACACCAGTTCTTCCCAAATCATCTGCTTGGGAAACTGGACAGACGGCTATAACTCTCTTCCCATCGGCTCCAGCTAATGATGATACACCCAGTTTTCCGCTTGCCAAACCCAATGACTCAATTGGTAAACAATCACTTGCTAGTCAATCCTCAGTATCGGAGGGTAATTATATTGTTAATTGACGTCTTATACAGTTAAAATAATTTTATGAAAGTTGGTTGAAAAAAAAGATTTTGGCTGTTACAGATGATATTCCACCTTCAAGGCGATCTGTGGATTTAGACGAAGCTGATCCCATGCTGCGAGGTGAACGTGACAGAGAAAGAGACCCGTCACTTATAAATTTTGTGTCAGGGAACCCCTTTGTTGAGGTCACCAAAGGCATCCTTCATTTATACAAAGAAGAGTAGGTTTACAATTTTAGTGAATTATGGTAAAAATAAATGGCTTACACAAGAAATTAATGGTGGTTGGTTTCAGCTCTTTAACAGACATGGAAAGTGCTTCACAATTGAGCCAAACTGTCTGTCTTCTGGCAGTACCAGCTACAATGACATGTCACGATCTGCTAACATTTACTGCTGCATGCCATGCAGGCATACAGCATGTTCGTGTTTTAAGAGATGGTACACCTAATCAGTACATGGTTCTTATCACCTTTCGTACCCAGGTAATTATTCCTCTATAATATGAGTGGGTGTTAAAGAAAAATTATTGTCACTTATCACTATGGTCATGGTCACTACATTGACAGCAAGCTGCAGCAGAATTTTACAAGTCATACAATGGTGTTCCATACAACACCCTTGAGCCAGATGTTTGCTGCCATCTGGTATTTGTATCAAAAGTTGAGTTAGTTAGGGAAGATGTTCCACCACCCCACCATACTGAACTTCCCACATGCCCAGTGTGCTTAGAACGGATGGATGAGTCTGTGGATGGAATTCTCACAATCCTTTGTAATCATGCTTTCCACACAAGCTGCCTGGCTAAGTGGGGTGACACTAGGTGAGGCAACAAGATTTTGTATATGCTAAATATTTTTTAAAATGTGCAATTGTTTTGGAACTTTTTGAATATGAATTAATTCTGTTCTTCTTTCTTTTTGTTTCAGCTGCCCAGTCTGTCGATATGTTCAGACTCCTGAACTAGTAGCTGACAATAGGTGTTTGGAATGCCATTCTGCCGAACAGCTATGGATATGTCTTATTTGTGGTCATGTGGGATGTGGGCGTTATGTGAAGGGCCATGCTTATGAGTAAGTTACTGTTTCATTTTTCTCAATGCAATGCATCAATTTTTTGGAAAATTCTGTTTTAAGTGAAGATATTTTTTTCAGTCACTATGATGAAACTAAGCATTGCTATTCAATGCAACTTGGAAGTAATCGAGTTTGGGATTATGTTGGGGACAATTTTGTTCATCGCCTACTGCAAAATAAAGGTGATGGAAAGCTTGTGGAAGGAAGTGCTCCTGGGAAACAAGATGTAAGTATTGTAATTTACTAATTACAAGTTTTGTTAAAATATTTTTCAATTCTTTAATTATCTATTATTGCAGGTTTCTGATGAGAAACTAGATTCAGTTCAGTTAGAATTCACATACATGCTGACATCTCAGTTAGATTCCCAACGCATGTATTTTGAAGAACAACTTGTTCGCCTAGATCAGCAAACTTCAGCTGAGGTGGGTCTACTCTACTTCTTCTCCGAATATCAATATTTTTGTATCTCTGATCAATCAATATGTTCATGCATCCTGGCCTTTATGATTGTAGCGCACTGAACTTAAGGAAGAAGTTCAACAGCTCAGAGAAGAAAATAAGGTGTTGCAAAGCAAAGTGTCATCACTCACTAAAGAAAAGCAAATGGTTGAGAAAAAGGTAATTTTATTATTATTTATATTATTTACTCTTTTTCATTACCTTAAATTTCTGTAAAACTGAAAGTTGTAACCTCAATGCAATTATCAGTTGCAGCAATTTTCGGAACGATTAGGTTCCACCCAAAAAGAGTTGCAGGAAGAAAAACAACTAAGTGGCGCATTAACTCAAAATCAAGGAGGATGGCAAAAGAAATTCACAGCCTTAGAAAGTCAGTTCCATCAATATCAAACTGAAAAAGATAAGGTAAGGATGTCACCAAGAATATCTTGTGTAGGTACTTTTGTTATATGTATGTTAAGGTGAGAGCTAGAATTAACTGACTAAACTCAAAATTGATGAGCCCATTTTGGGAGTCAAGCCCAAGCAAAATTGGTTATACCTATAATTACAGAATCACCTAGCTCACATAACATGTTTATTCCATCTCTAACCAGTATTCTTCTTGTATGCTTTTTGCAGGAAATAAGTGAATTAAAGGAACAACTCCGGGATGTGATGTTTTTCTTAGAGGCTCAGAAACAAATTTCAGAAAGTGCAGATCGTGATGAAATAGCCGGTGGGCGAGTGACTATTGGTGAAGGTCCTCAGACTTCCACATCAAAGTCTTCAAGACGAGGCAAAAAGCAAAGATAGATGATTAAAAAAAAATAATTGCAAAATCTGAAACTTTTTGTAATGTGTGAAACCACTCTGTCTGCTATTGATTATTAAGCACATACGTTACTTCCTTCTACCCTGTTGTGTAGTTAATTAGATTATCAGAAAAACAAAGGTTTATTAAGTGATTCAACTTCTACATTAGCTTTTTGTTTTGAGTCTGTGGAATGTTTTCCCATATCTATCTATATATATTAAGTCAAGTGTTTAACAGCCATTTAATAATACTAGATGGTAGGTAACCAAAACAATACAAATCATATATTCATCTTGATTTTTTACAGTTGGCTGTGATGTGTGTGTGTGGTGTTTATTCCTGTCTATTTTCTTACTTTTCAGTACATTGCGATTGTGCATTAATTATATTAAGCCCTTGTTGTTTTTTTTAAAGATCTTCAAGTTTAAATAAAAGTAGTAAAATATGCTTCACTGAGCTTTATTAAATTTTTATTAAAATAATTTTACACAAATATTAAAAGATTCTTAAGACTGGAATGATTTACATCCAACATAATAATAGCAATCTTCGGAACTGTCAATTAGTAATTGGCAATTCAGGCAGAACTTTGTAAGGGTTGAGAATACCATTAGGATCCATCACTTTCTTCATTTGGTGCATCAATTCAATTGCTCGGGTGGATTTGGAGAAATGAACTGCATCTCTCTTCTTAAATCCAATTCCATGCTCAGCACTGACACTTCCACCAACTTTAGCAGTCCATTCATAAATGAAAGGTTCAATGCTTTGGAGTATTTCTTTACTGTATGCCTTAGAGGTCACATTGAGATGAATATTACCATCACCTGTCACAAGTGCAAATATGGATGTTAGGATAGATGTGACACACAGATAACTTAAAACTGTGAAGCATACACAAGGAACAAAAGTACGGAACATGAATGTCAAAAGAACTGAAATTTACAAAAGCACCAAATTACATACCAATATGCCCATAACCACAGACACGCAAAACTGGCAAGTGACCCAGATGATGGCGGAGTACTTCTACACAAGAATAAAAGTCCTCATGCGGTAGTGAAATATCATATTTGTAACAGTAGCCATCTTTTGCCAACCCTGAGGTAATGTTCTCACGTAACTCCCATAAATTCTACAAAAGAAGGTAGTATTGGAATGATAAGCAGCGCATATTGCCAAACCCTCTATTCAACAACTAGCCGGATTCTATAAAGAATCCAAATCTTTCTCACTAACACATTGAATGTGGGCTATTTTTTGTGCAGATGATTTAACATGGGAGCATGACTAAGTGGTCATGCCAGCCGCACTCAATGTGTTATTATTACACAAATTAACACTGTAAAAAGCAATTTTCACAAAAGCCCATTGATAAAGCATACCCAATCCAAAATTTCACACATAATGAAGACATTGAGTTTGAAACACTGAAATAAATAAGTTCATACCAAGATGTCCAAAACCACTAACTCGAACGACATTTGAAAAGTTCTTCAAATGGTCCCTCAAGTCTGGTACAATTGAATAGAAGTCTTTAACGCCTAGAGATAAGTCATATGTGTTCAAGAACCCATCTCTAAGGAGCCCCTCACCTAGCCTTTCACGTAGCTCAAAAATTTGCTGAAATTATGGGATTTTTCTGTTAGTTGAAAGGGGATTAAAGGTGACCCATAACACTCAAATAAAATGTGAGACTACCACACATTTAAAGCGTTTTCTGTAATTTTCATGTGGGGTAGTCTCACAGGTTTTGTTTATTGGCGAATATATAATAAGAAATGTTAAACAAAAATTGCAGGAGCATGTGTTACCTTGATACGAGATGGTTCACTCGCCTGTGTTCCATCAATAATCATATTTTTATCTAATGCATGCTCAAGAAACTGAGCCAATTTTTCCTCATCATGTGTACTGTTGCTGCCAGATGTTTCAATGAGTAAGTAAAATGGACAGTCCTTGATAGGAACACGAAGCTTTAAATTATCCTCAACAGCCTGCAAAGATTCACGATCCATCATCTCACAAGAAGACAGAATTTCACCAAGATCTCTTTTACTAGTCTTCAGTGTTTCCAGCACTTTTTCATAACTTTCCAGGCCTATAAAAAAAAAAAATTAACTCAATAAAGATGTCACCAAGAATATCTTGTGTAGGTACTTTTGTTATATGTATGTTAAGGTGAGAGCTAGAATTAACTGACTAAACTCAAAATTGATGAGCCCATTTT